CTGCTGAGGAGGCAGCGGTGCGGAGCTGCCATCTGTGATATTATGACTGATCACCTCTTAGTCAGAATCCCCCCCCCAAAGGTTTGAGCACTGTGTCTGGAGCATCTCTGGTTGAGTCGCAAGTCTGATTATTAATCCAATACTGTTTCTACATAGAATGTGCTTTTGAGACCTGGCTGTCTGTTAGAAAAAACGGTTGCATAGAGCTTTATCTGTGCTGGAACGAAAATGCATCTGGCCTCTTTAATAGTTAGAGTAGACAGAAATGGAAGTCTGTTTCTGTAGAAGTCAGCATTTTTCCGTTTTCTTTTCTACCAGATGTAATGAAGTGAATCCAGTGGAAGGCTTCTTGGAAAAGACATGAGTTAAATATTCACAGTGCCCTTTGTTCCTTTTCTAATCGGATACCACAGCAGGTGTTTTGTTTGTCATCCAGATACACTTGTTTGAATTAATCTGGAGCCTGCACATGTGTATTGTGATATTTAACTATATTATCCGAAGGAACTGTAAGTGTCCAAGATAGAAAGACCTTGATTATACCTTTTTTTACTAATGACTGTGATATCAATATTGATAATACAAGTAGTAATAGCAGTCAAATATAAAATCATTTTTCTTTTGAGCTTTCATTTTAGTGTAATTCTTTACCCTTTGTCAGACTCTGTTTTGATAAATGAGCTCTGTGACGTATGCTAATACTTACCTTGGGTTTCCACCTTAGATTATGAGCAGTGCTGTGTCGATCTTCATATAACATATCAGTACCATCATTTTGGTAGTCCTTGGTGTCACAAACGGTGGTACAGAGGTAAGCACTGTGGTCTCCCAGCACTGGGGTCCTGGGTTCAATTCCAGACCTGGGGTGCTATCTGCATGGAGCTTACACCCTCCCTTTATGTGTGTGGGTTTCTCTAGGTGGTCCAGAGACACTCTGGTAGGTTAATTGGCTTCTGGGGAGACTGGCCCTGGTGTGAGTGTGTTTGTGTCCGTCTGTGCGCTGTGATGGACTGGTGTCCTGTCCGGGGTGCATCCTGCTTCCTGGCTCCCTCAAGATGACATCCAGCAGGACTAGTTACAGAAAATAGAGCTTGTATTTCACGTGTCTGGAATAAGAGTAATGCAATAATGCAAGATTTTGACTTAATTAACATTTTGGATAATGGTGTTGGATGGATGTCGTGCTCTATCTGAAGAGGCATGTAATGTCTGTGTCTCAGTCTTGGTTACCACATCCAGCGTCTTAATTTCATTCACTGGGCAACTCGTTAAGGGATCCTCTTCAGTGCAGATTGTTCTTCGATCTCCCAATTTAACAGCAACAGAAACAATTGCAGAAAAAAAACAGATTGCTGTTCTCTTTCCTGGAACTACTCCAGGCCCCCCGAGTGTTTACAGGTCCTTTGTGAGATCAAGAAAAACGTTTCCGCTGGAGGGTAAAGGCTCTGAGTATCGCAGTGAATCTTCTGTTTCACCACACTGCCTTCTCAGACTGTTCCTGACACACCTCTGGTCCTGCTGTTTGTCGTGTCAATGGAAATACAATACTTCTTGTGTCCCAGACCAGGGGAATCTGAGTACAGGTACGTCTTAGAGCTTTCCGGCACTCTGGCATTCCTGGGTTTTCCTGAATTCCGGGTGGAAATCGTTGTTGCCCCCAGCGTGACGGCGAGAGGCTCCCGCGGTGTCCCCGATGTCTCGGTACCTGAGACACTTCACGGTGGTGGGCGATGACCAGGACAGGCTGGCCCGGCTGCACGAGGAGGAGCACCTGGAGGCCTCTGCTGAGCTGGAGGCCGAGCGGCCGGTAGAGCATGCCCTCACCTTCCGCCAGTCTCTGCAGAGGCTGTTCGCCTCCAACAAGTTCCAGGTGACCGACCGGCATTAAAACAGCTCAGCTGTAACTTCGTGTCCTGTAACTGGAGTTTGGGACCACCTATATCTACACATGGTCCCTAATTTTGGAATTTGGATCTGCTGAGAGACTTTGCTCATTACTGCTGCATGTGCAGCATCACAGGGGTGATGCAGATGACATGCATGGGACTAGCAAATTGATCTGAGCTGTCGGCCATGTCTTTCCCATTCTGTGAGCTAACAGTGCAGACAAGAGAATGTATAGATGAATAAGGACTAATCTAGCTCTCATTCCTACTGGAGGCTCACAGGTGCATGCTGGTGTTATATTATATAATAATGATAGATAAATTAACTGTGCGCACAGTCTTGGTAGAGCATTATGCTAGCCATGGGATTTGCTCCCTGTTGGAGCCAATCCTCTTGACCAGCATGGTGGGTCAAGTCTCCTCAACAGAGGAATCAGCCCTTTATCCTCATAATTGATTGATGGTGACTTTTCTGTTTATTTTACATTTATGACTAGATTACAGTGCCTAGGCATCTAATACTCTGTACATGGGAAGGTAGTGGAATACAAAACTTTAAACTATGGAAAAAATGGCCAGCTGTCTACATGCTGATTGGCAGATCTCTGTGGTTTGCTTGGTGATCCTGGATGCTGTCTTTGTGCTCTGTGAACTGCTTCTGGACCTGGCTATCATCAAGGCAGATAGTGAGAAGATTGCCCCCAAGGTAAGGAAACGGACACAGACGCCTGTGCTCACACCTCCTGCTATACGTACTTGTAGCAGATATTGCAGGGCCATTGTGTCTCTGTTGTATGTACCCTCTGCCAGCGCTCCCTTTGACTGTATTGGAGGGCTAGCTGGGAATTCCTGCTTCATAGCCTTAACAATTGTTCTCTTCACTGATCTGCCCCTTCCTACATCCAGTCCCTCATCTCCCGGCTTATACCTCTACTCATTCTCTCCTCTCCTGCTGGTCACCTCTTAGTTGTTCCTCTTTGTCTTGTCCAGTCGGCCCAGTCTCTTCCTCAGCCTGATCTATGTAAGGCTGGTCATTACAACTCACTGAGGCTGCCATACGACACCGGGTCCTCCAGTAATTGCTGTACATATATTGTGCTTGTGTCCTTGCCAGATTGCCCCCTGACTTTCACCAATCATGGCCTCCTAATAATCCCCATCTATGAATTGGCTTCATCACTCTGATCTCCTCCCCACTGATAGCTGGTGTGTGTTGAGCGTACTGGTGCACTATGGCAGCCATCGCATCATCCAGGTGGATGCTGCACATTTGTGGTGGTGGTGGAGGGGAGTCCCCATTACCTGTAAAGCTCTTTGAGTTGTTATTATTATGATCTAATACTGCTGTTTTTTTGTGTCATGTCTGCTGTGTCCAGGTGTTCCACTACCTGAGTCTGGCTCTACTAACCTTCTTCATGGTTGAGCTGTTGGGGAAACTCTTTGCCTACCAGCTGGAGTTCTTCAAACACAAGTTTGAAGTGTTTGACGGGATTGTGGTCATTGTGTCCTTCATACTGGATATTGTGTACATCTCTCACGAAGACGCCTTCGACGGCGTGGGGCTGCTCATCCTGCTTCGTCTCTGGAGGGTAGCCCGCATCATCAATGGTGAGAAGATGGCATGCTGGCACATATGGGTATATGGGCTTCTTGAATGGAGAGTCACAGGGTTTGCAGAGCACTTCCAAATAGAAATTGGGAGAGGGGTGGAATTCTGGTTGAAACAAGTTTAATATTAAAGTACAAATAAAACTGTGGGTCACTCCCATCGGCAGTTGAAACATCTTTGATGTGCCTTAAAGTTAACGACTTGTAGATTGTGTAGCTTCAGTCGCTCTGTAATTTCCCTGTTGGTAAATGGCTCTGACTTTCTTGGTGTTTCTCTGCAGGGGTGCTGGTCTCCGTGAAGACTCGGGCTAATTATAAACTAGAGAAACTTAAAACTGCCAACGAACACCTCACTCAACAGGTCAACGATCTCCAGCAACGCAAAGCCCACATGGTAACTAAGGCTTCTTAAGAACAGTTCTTCCTGTTGAGCGCAATTTCAGGTGTTTGAAACGCTGTCAGAAATTAATTGTGACACAGATTGCATTGCTGGTGTCGTCAATGTATTTGTGAGGAAATTGTTGGAAAGAAAGCAAAAATGATGTGTGAGTGTATGAGTTTTTTTTCTTACTTCAAAGATGATTTTAAAATCCTGTTGTGTTCCTGAGGAAGTACCGGTGGAAACTTGTTTTGGTCCAGCAGACTACCATACTTAACATTTAAAAAAAAAATAATGCAACATAAATAGTATATGGCTTTTTTATTATTTAACTTTTATTTTATTTACTGTGCTGTGGATATCTTTGAATTTCATTTCTTTTCTTTTCAGGAGGATGAAAACAACAGACTACGCAGACTGTTACAGCAGCATGGGATTAAGTACTAGAATGTGCAAGGGAAGTCTGTAGAACGTCACCTGAAGTCAAGAATGTTGTGGCATGATAACGATTATGTTTTTATACATAGTGACATGTAGCAAAGAGGAAATGTCAGTGGGTGCTGGGCATTGATTTTTTTTTTTCTGTACAGGTAATTATCCAGAGTACAGAGTAAGTTTTTATTTTGCTTTACTTAAATACATTCCATTTCAGAGGTCTGATTTCCAGCAGAAAGAGAGATCCAGGGCACTTGCTTTAATGTATAGGCGCAGCTCAAGGCTGTTATGATGCATTGTGATGCCTCAGGGGTACAAACAGGCATGTCCCACACTCCAGACACGCCCCTCTTTTCCTGGTGTGGAACCTTTTCCACACCTGTACACCCACTCCCCTCCGCGAGTGGTGCAGACACTGCCCACTCCTCAGTGTGTGTGTGTGACGGCACACATGCAGGCTTCCTGGGAACTCTGGGCCTTTGGTTCTGGGGATCCGCGAGCGCGAGTCTCCGTCACAGCCCTGCCCCTGCCCCTGCCCCTGCCCCGCCTGGGGTCCTTCGCTCGCACTTACCCGAGCCACGCCGAGCTTCATCCTGATGACGCCCTGGAGCTCGGAGCCTCCCTGCTCATGCCCACGACCCCTACTGGCTCTCTCATCCCTCATGATGAGTACTTGCCGTTTTATTCTTTAACTTTTAGTTTACTTACTAAGTGTTCCACTGTCTGGTCATTTTATTGACTGAATATCTTGGAATTATTGTCTTTAATAACCTTGCAAACATTCTGTAGTAAAAGAGCCTGACCTATGAATTCTGATTTTAGATGTCCAAATTACCATAGAATTGTAAAAGTGTATGTGTTATTTTTGTGAGATATGCTTAATGGCTCTTTTTATGTGTCGGTGCTTAAATGTGAAGCTATGTTTAAGAAAAAATGGGAATTCAGATTTTGTGACATATTTAAAGAGATATATACATATTTTTCTATTTTAAAAGTACTCAAACATATAAGACACTTGTAAGGGAGAGTCTTTATCCAAAATTCATATTGTCACAAACAAAATATACCATTGCTAATGGCATTAAAGATTGCAAACATTGTACATGAAATGAGTCTGTATTTACATTCTATATTTATAATCTGTCTTGCTTTTTAAAACTTTTATAACACTTTGGTTAACGGTCAAGTTAATAGATTTGGATGTTTCATCATTATAACTTATAAAAAAGCATATTACATTTTTTATCAAAGAGTTAAACCATTTACAATATATATACAGTTTACAATAAATAGCTTGTAGTTTAACACAAGTAAATTTACAACACACATCGCCTATGGTTTTTTTAAGGAATTGATTCCTCAGAAAGCTTGATGAATTAAAAGAGCAGAATCTTTCAATCAGTAGTGCTGGTAGCCTATTCAATCACAACCATTAGGAAACAAAGGTGAACTAAGGCCATCGCTGACAATGGTTGCTGCAACCCAACCAAATATATGGCTTATGTGGGCTAAGCTTTCTCTCTTACTGTTAAGATTGTCAATAGGATGTGGTTTGCACAGTACAGTACTAAACAAGATGAATGCAATGATAGAGAAGCTACTTGCTGCAGTGCAGTCTACCTGCGTCGCAAGAAACAGGCACAACACACGCAGAACCGCAAGTGGCCTTGAGCTCCTCAATGACTATATTACACAGCTGTAAGCATCCCTCAGTGCGAAAACACACCTTGGATCCAGATAAAAGCAGTTTCCAATCTTGCCAGCTGGAAATGCCAGTGATGTAATTGATGCCAACTTCTTTACTGCAAAAGGTTGCTCTTTCCTTCTATCCAATGGAAAGACGGCTACCATCAGTCCCGGGCCTGTATGTTTTCCAACTGCCCGGAGCATAGAGGTTTTAAATGAAGTTGGGTCTCAGCTAAAACAGAATTACTAGTGGTAAACTGGTTTTACAGTCTTCAAACACCAAAAAGGTGTAAGAGTAGCCTGCTGTACAAATCTTGTAAAATATGGCTAGATTGTTTTTTGCGGGGAGATAGAGTGGTAGAGATTGTACCAAACATTTGATACACAATTACTTCTTGGGCAAAATCAATGCAGTTTAGTGAGAACTACTAACTAGCCCTCAGCCCTCCTGTTCTTGAAAGTATCTATAAGGGGAACCCTGAGAGCTACCGTCTAACGGGTTTCACAGGCCTTCTTAAATTATCGAGTGCTTTAGACTTGAAAATCCTGTGGCCACTGAGCGCCAAAGCCCTTAAAAAAATTAAAAGAATGACCTGAGAAGAATGACATTCATGTGTGGCATAGCAAGACCAGCACTGAGTTGAATAAAACTCCCCAAGTTGAATTAAGTGTTCCTTGAGTTAGAAAGTTGCACAAAGCAGCTATGTTCAGGGAGGAAAATGTTCATGTATAACACTAAGGTGATTTATGAAATCCTGTACATCAGTCCTCCCCATTACACTGCAGTGCAAACAGTATTGTGGAGTCATCAACCCCCACTCGGCAGATGCCTTCTCACATCGCGGCCTGCCTCACACGAACGGGAAGAAGAAGTCAAAGGGCAGCTTGGCATCAATGGTGGGCTGGGCTCTGTAGCCTGGCTGTGCGGGAGCCGAGACGTCAACGAAGGCCACCGAGGTGGAGATCTGCAGGATGCCTTCTCCTCCGGCGAGAGACGGCTGCAGAGGAACGCAAAGGAGAAAATGAGTAGCTCTCCAGACTGCAGGGTGTGTGGTCACAGCCACCTACTTCACAGACACGAACACTGTGTGAAAAAGCTAGTCTTTCTCACCACATTGGCAAATTTGCCTTATGAAAATTACTCACTAAATTTGCATGTTATCCATCATCTCCACTTTTTCCCACAATTTGTATCATGCTTTATCAGGCAATTTTGCTTTAGCATGCTTTGACCATGATGTCACTGCACTGCACTACACTTTTAGCTTTGTCGAACATACTAGTTAAGTAACAAAGGTAGAGAAACAAATGGCTTTTGAGTGTGTAATGATATCATTTTGCCCTACAGCTGGTATGGCGGAATCTCTTCCACATTGCTAACAGACCACAAATTCCAGGTGTTCGTGACTATAAATGTGAGTAATCAGTATTTTTTCCATGCAATAGAACGATTCAAGCATGCACGCTACTTATCAAATAGAGTTTTAATTCCCAGACAGAAAGCAAACGAACTGGGATGCGCTGTGACCCGATTGGCGTACCAGGCTGCTGGAGTTCGTGGAGATGCTTGCAGTGACATTCAGTATCCGCGCCTGGGGGTTCGCCAGAGACCCGTACTTCGTCCACCTCACTTCGATATCGAGGGACAGGGGTATGCTGCAGCTGGTCGAGCTCTGAAGGACCATCAAAGGGAGCCCAGTCAGAACACACTCACTGCAGTTTCATCAACATGCGTACCCGCCTGCGATTCTCCCTTCGTGATCCCCTGATTCATGGTCATTTGTTCATCCCTGTGAAACACACAGCAGGTTTTGTACACATAACTGTCCCTTGTGAAAGGATGCAAGATATAGCCATGTGTCATGGTGACTCAGACATTGCAAAACTCAGGAAAGTTTCCTGCCTCCACTCAACCCCACTTCTGTCTGCAGAAAGGAGACACAAATGATTTTGTATTGTATACATATCTGGTTTGTGATGCTCTTATTGATCTCTATTTTCAAAATTGTTAACCTTTTTTTGAGCAGGTGTTTTTCCACAAATAGTTTTCCTCTTCAAGAACTGCTAGACCACTTCCTGATACTACTAAGAATCAGGTTAGTGAGTATCAGACTACAGTCATGAGAACAGGCCATGATTAAAACATGACTTGTGACTGAACTGTTATTGAATGTAGTACAGGGGGAGCACATCCAGAAAAAGAAATTCCTAGTTTGTTCATCAACAACTGCATTGACACATTTAATCTCGGATGAAATGGCTAAATAAAAGCAGAAGCAGACAAAACCCCAGAAAAGGCAAATATTACCTTAATACATGTTCCCTAATGAAAGTTTCAAAAGTCAGCTTCTTTTGTAAGAGAATGATAATATCCTATTAAACTTTCTCAATGAAGTTTTTATTATACCACATATTTGTGATTCACCAAAATATCTATGACATGTATAAATAGCATATTTCTCTTAAATGTGATGTATAATATCATAGAAGGTGTCTTAAAGACTTTCTTACAGCTGTGGTAGTTTGGATCTTGACTGGCACCCAATCCAAGATATCCTGGGGCTGGGAATTCCCAAAGGATGCCACGTACTGGGGAAACTCCTGGCCCCTCAGCACCCCTAGGGTCTGTTCAGATACCACTGTGCAGTTATCAGCACTGTTCACCCTGCAGAGACACAAACAACCCCTGGCTGGTCTGTACATGGCCTCTACTCGCCACACTCGCCATAAATCAAGGAAGGGCATGCTAATGCAAGTTATATGCGAGTTTGCATCAAACTGCTACCCAAAAGGAATCATAGACGAAATAAATCTCTTAGTAAGGAGAAATAAGCAGGTACACTGAAATCGCTTCATTTGAATGTTGCTGAAAATTGGCTTTACAATCCCTTCATAGTTCCCACTGAAGATGTTATAATCACTTGCTTTGTGCTTTAAATGGACAGCAGCAAATGACATCTTACCCAGCATTATAAATTATGTTAAAACAAAGGCAAATGTCTTGACGTCTTCTGTACATTGTGCTATTTGTGCATGCCCACGTAAAGCAGTGTGAATGTGGTAATAACATCCTGTGTCACGGTCATGAAGGAATGATGCAGCCAGTAAGCAGCGACACTCAAATAAAGCGTTACTGTTTGTTTTTAGTGTGCGAGGTGGGAAAATGCGTGTGAAAGCAGCACAGTGTATGTGCATGAAGAGGACAGAGCTGCTCCTGCCCTCCCTGGATACAGCAGTATCACTCCTGCTGGCCATCACCCACCTCAGCGTACATCCTGACACCATGTTCACCCCAAACAAGACTGGGGTCCTCTCTCCAGCCGTCTCCAGGCAGTCCTGAAGGCTGGCGCTCTTAAGGACAGTCAGCCCTGCAAAACTGTTGGCGCTCTGCGCGATGCCGGAAGTACCAGACATGGTTAAGGACACAGCACAAAGCACACCCTTCTGTGAATCTAACATCCACGTGGTCCTGCTGGTGCTCGGACTTCACATTCCGCCCATGAACCCGCAGCGCTTGCATTGGCTTCAGTTCAACACTGGGTTCCTCCACCTGCACCGTAAGCCCTGTAACACGTGTGATTGTCATTTTGTTCTCGTAGCACAATAAAAAGTACAGTGTGTCTGAAAAACGCAGATAGTTAAAGCAACTTTGCTTGTCAATCAAGAAAACCTTGCTTTTCCCAAATTTAATAAACAACCATACACGTTCATGTGTCCTGTGTATAATTAAGTAGCCTCATTACTTTAAGACTGGAATATGTTCAGCACTCCAGTATCTTGTATCACTTTATTCTACATTTTGTCAGGGTTTAATTTATTACATGTTACAGATCATATCGTGAGAATGCAACCAGGCTCCTGTTGCTGTGTCTGTTTAAGATGAGTGACTAGGATAAATAAATAATGCACCAATCATTGTTGTATGTGACTGTGCAACAGCGGTATGTCCTGGTGATCTCCCAGCAGTGCACGAAGAGATTAACAGCACACAGGTCAGAAGCAAGAGTTGGGCTTGAACTGGGAGCACCAGGCAATAATCATAAAACTCAGAACCTGTTTCTCAAAGGGCTGGTCTTTCTAACGGAAACTGTGAATGTAATTAATCTGTATGACACTCGTAGCCGTCTACTGAAACAAAACTGTCGTGCCCCCTGTTTGTGATTAAGGAAAAACAAAGCTAATAGCCTTATTCTTACATTTTTATAAGTCGTGCCCACTACATTTTCTTACTGATGGAAAAAGGTGGGATTTTTAAACAAAACTAGGCGTTAGAGCATAAAAACAGCGCTCCAACAGATATTTTGACTTGCAGGATTTTGAAGTATTGCAGTTGATGCTTTAAGTATCCTGTATTTTTTTAGAACAGGACACGCATGTAAAATCGCAACCAAAAAACACTCTTCCACGTGATGATTTACTGACCACGATTCTGGTGTCTTAAATCCGTCTATATGCACCTCACGGCACATGGCAACTAGCTATAAACATCAATGAAGTAACGCTCGCAGTATGTAGCTCTGAAAAAGGATATTCGTCTTGTCTCCAGCCAGCCACTAGAGGGAGCCCAACAACGTATCCTGGATTTCCACTTACAGGAACGGGACTTGTATTCTCCTGAAAAACACAATATTGCATTATTTACAACTATAATATTTAAAATAAAAATGTGCTTTCTCCATGCAATGGTCGTCTGCATTAACTCATTTTAACATATATTCTAAGCAATGCACGTTACTTTTAAAGGTATCGGAACATCAAGAAGTCCACAGATGTGAGGAACAACATCTCCACATCTAGATCTCTTGCTGTGTTACCCTTATACTATACAATCCTTTACTGGTTGTATTGGGAATGATTCAGCGCAGTCTAAATCGACTCTCACCTTCATCAATCTGGGAGGTTGTGTGAAGACCAGAGCCCTCACATTAACCCACACTAATACAGGGAGGGCATATCAGTCTCACACAGGCAGGTGCCCCCAGCCAGGAATCCAACTCTGGAGCTGCCAGGCAATCGTGCTAACCACCCCACGAGCAACGGACACACGCAACAGGTCTTGCTTCACTGCACCTGCACAAAGGTGATCTGAAACTTCTGTTGTATCGGCACTTTGGAACTGTCAACGGCTCCCAGGACAAAAGACACTGCAATATTCACAATTGCGCCAGCTTCACTGTAGGTGACCACATACCCAACCTGCAGCACAGAAACACAGCAAACAGAAGCACTTCACAGTAAGTGTTCAATCAATCCAGCCATTTTCTAACAGCTTCTTCCAATTCGGGGTCACGGGAGATTTGGAGCCTGTCCCAGCAAGCAAGAGGCACAAGGCAGGGTACACCCTGCACAGGCCTCCAGTCCATCACAGGGCAGACTGACACACACAGGACCGAGTTTCCCAGGAGACAATTCATCTGCCAGCATGTTTTTGGACTGTGGGAGGAAACCGGAGCACTCAGAGGACACCCACACAAACACAGATAGCGCCCCATGTCTGCAATTGAACCTGGGGCCCCAGTGCTGTGAGGCAGCACTGCTGACCACTGCGCCACTGTGCTGCCTGTAAATGTCCTAACTCACTTGTAAATTCTGAAATTTAATTATAGGGAATTAAAAAGACGTAGGGTTAATTATCACATTACACTGAACTGTAACTGAGACACCACAACAGCCTTCCACGATTAGTTGGGAGTTGGGATCAGCACTGTACAACACTTCAATCAATTTTTATTGCTGTGCATTTCAGCTCAATGCTCATTCAAATTCTAGGGAAGTACAGTACATGACTCCAGTTCCAAAGGAACAAACAGTTCTAGTAGAAGGAATCCGAGAAGGAGGGGGATCTTACTTGGAGCACTGCGTTGTTGCACACGGAGCTTTCTTCCAGCAGCACGGGGTTGTACAGAGAGCTGTCAGCGGAGCCCAGTCGACTTCGAGCCCCATTAAGGGCCTGCAGCGTGATGGAGCTCACACTGACATTGACAAGCTGCTGGAGAGCAATCAGGCCGTCAGAGCCCACACCACACAGCTGCACATCAGAAGGGCTGTTTATATGATCGTACAACAGAATGCTGTATGATACTTTACCAAAAAGCACACACACTGTGCAGTAGTTCAGGTGGGTAGCTTACACCCGAAGAAGGCTCCACAGCTGAAGCTTTGTGTTTTCTTTCTTCTCTTTTCAGCATGGAATAAACCTATTTCTTGTTCCTTTGCACACTATGCAGTATCAACCAAGCAGTTTTAATGCTGGCGAAGTGATGGGGTTCAAATTGGACTTTTTTATGTTTCGTACTGTTTTTACTACAAATATGTCAAATTTGTCATGCTAATGCATCAGAGTTCTGGCCATTGTCTTCTGGCTTTTATTCTCTGAGGTGCTCTGCTTCTCGTAATTTGATTTGTTCAACAAATTGGATCTTTTTGATGTTTCTGCACTCAGACCCTGGCTTCAAAACACTTTGCTGCAGAAGTGGTGCTGCAAAGATATTCAGCAAACGGTAGCCACCCTCCGACGTGCTAGTGTTTGCTGTTTAAACGGTTCTTAACAGGTGACCAACTAGTGATGTCCACAGACAGGTGGGATTGACAGTAAACTGGTCTCTTGCACAACAAAATGACTTAACCCTTTAACATCCCACACCCCCGAATCCCACCTCTTCAGAGTCTTGTAATAAAAAAAAAACACTAGAGGCTAAATTAGCCCGATTGATTAAAATCTCATTTGGATCAAGTGCAAGAAGGCACAGTGGAACTTCAGGACCAGGGGTTCAGAACCACTGATTGAAGTGGTTCTCTTGATATCAGTGCACCTCATATTTCAGGCACACCTTTTTTACCTTGATACATAACTGAAACACACCACCTTTAAAGTTCTTATGATACTGTTTAATTACTGTATCAATAAATCCCCCTTTAACAGCATTTCATGCAAAATAACATGAAAAACACTTCTATTAACAAATTTACCTTTTTGTTGTACCTGAAGCAAAAAATAGTTTAAAGCATTAATTCTGTAACTTTCATTCATACCAATCTACTCACAGGTTATGGCAACATTACTAAAACTTTGGACAATCTGTAAAGAAAACCAGCTGGGACTTACTTTATTGATGTCATTTTTAACCTGAAAAGAAAAAGAAACATGATGGAAATGGAAAACAGATTATATTGGAATATTACAACTGTAACTAGAAAGAGTTTCTGGGATTTAAGTACGTAATCTGAATCTGAAATAAATGTCCTTGGATTTCAGATGATTATATAGTCATTATAACAACAATGGGAATGAGTCAAAAGAGATGTGAACTCCTTTCAAGGCCTTTGATTTTCAAAACTCCTAACGGGTTGAGAAGGATTAATTTTGTTAATAATACAAATGTCCATATAATAAGTGGCACAATTGTTTGTCTCCAAATATGCTTCTGTTGCAAAAACAAATGATCTACTAACCCATGACTACTAACCCATGACTGCCCTAACCCATGACTGTAACTACTTTACTTACAGGGTTTAAAGGGTCATGGATACTGCACATCAGTCCTAGGATTTTTAAGATATTTATGACCTTCTCCAAATAGACCTGCTCAAGTCCCAAACCACTGCTGTAACATGATCGACACTGACACCAACAAACTCTTCAGATCTGATCTGGACTGGAACCCAGACTCACCGAGATGACAGACCTGAATACACGTGACTGTTATTGTTACTGTGATACTGTCTATTATCTTATCTTCTGTTCTATTTATATACTGCACCTGAGTGACTAATGAGAAACTCTTTTCATTATACTATGCACCTGTGTAAGTATAATGACAATAAAGCTGAATTGAATTGAATCTCATGAATGAATCTGCAGCTTTATCACTCCAACACATCTCTCTGCTGCCAGCACATGAGTGGAAGGCAATGCGTTCACTCACAGAGAGGACCTGGAAACTGAGGTAGCTCTGCTGGCTGAGTGCTGTCAGTTTGGTACATTCAGCTGCTATGTTGAGGCTCCGACTGCACTGGGTTACCTGGTTTTCCAAAAAGGCTGTAAGAATGGATAAAAAGTAGAAAAATAATTGTGAAAACTAGCAATAGTGTACATATTGTGTACGTATAATTGTACATATAGTGTACGTACTTATGAAGTAAATGTACAATACATATGTTTATAATAGTGCTTATAAACATCTTGTGCTGGTGGTTGGCTGGGTATAGATATATGGATAACCAAGGCCCTCCTGAAACATTTCACAATGATACCAGGAAATGGGGTGACGTAGCGATCAACCACCCACGTACCGGCAGGATTGGTGTCGGAGCACTGGGATGTGGCCGTGGGAGCCGGCAGCTTCAGAACCCCTCGGATCCTTGCTCCGTCCACCGTCTGAATGACATCGCCATACTGAACGAGGAGGAGATGGCAGCTTAAGAAATATAGCCCTTCTTATGTCACACGCATTGTAGCCTTTATTTTCCAATGTGCACCGACATCATAGGATTCCATTCATCCCTCCACTTTCTGGGGTACCCCCCTGGAGGGGATGCCAGTCCACGGCTGGGCACAGAGACACAAACAGACACACACTCACACCAGGACCAATTTCCTCAGAAGCCAATTAACCCACCAGAATGTCTTTGGACTGTGGGAGGAAACCTGCATTGCTGCGCCACCCTAGTAAAATTCCATCACTTTAAAATTTAAAACACCACTACAGCTTCCCAGATCTTAAAAGGAACAAGTGATAGGTTTATTCCCTGTCGAAAAGAGAAGAGAGAAAACACAACGTCTTGGCTGTGAAGCCTTCTTCAGCTTTATTTTTTACGGAAGGTACCCGGAGACTTGTATGTACTGTATAGAAATACTTGAGCATTGTCCTGGCCTACACTAACTGTGGCGGAGATTAAACACACAGAGCCACTGCAGCACGTTTACCTGGTAGCCAGAGGCGGCCTGCAGGTCTGCCCTGTCGGGGGCGGTATCGGTCCCACCTCCATCTGCGGGGCTGAAGAAGAACCCACCGAACTGCCTGAACAGACTGTCAAAATTCCCATCTGTGGGAATCTCCGGAGAAGCAAATGACAAGCCATCCTTATCTAAAGAAAAACCAAAGCTCTTTTGCAGTTTCTCTTTTGACTCATCACATATACCGTATGAGTAACATTCAGGCATGCGAAAGGCTACTTTTCTTTTTTCCTTTCCATTATTCCTGCAGTCATGGAGGATGATAAAGGGTCCTTTTTACATGCTGCTAGAACCGAAACTTCACCTACAGTTGGCAGTCTGGATGCAGAAGACACCTGGGTTGATCTCTTGCGCTACAGTGGATTCTACCTGCGCTAGGCCATCTTCTGTGTTAATGGTGTAGAGAGCAGCTTGCTGGCTGCAGAGCCGGGAGTCAGCACTGAAACACACAAGACCGAGTGTCACGCCATCACTCACACTGCTCCCACAGTGGCACATCCAGGCTGGCACTTCGACTGAAAATGAACTGCAAAATGTTGTAGGAACCGGTTATGCAGAAATAACGTTGTGTGGGTCCATGTTAACAGGACTGTAGATAACTACTTCATGGCAAAGAGAAAGCAAAGGCGATATCTAAGTAACACTTACAAACTGGCTTTCATCCATACAGTTTATTATTGCTAAAACGCTACTTTTTGCAGCTTCTATTTATTATTGTAGTGTTAATAGATATAATCATACATAGTACTCCTCAGACTGATGTCTTATAAATACATTGTGTTAATATATGCACTTTGGATATAATGACACACTCTGCATTATACACACACGTTACCTGCAAATAACTTACACAGTATACTACTACGTAGTGTGATCTAACAAATACAAGGAAACATAAATTAAATACAATTACTATAAATACAGTTAGTCAAAAACAGGTATCAGAATTGTCATAAATTAGGGAGAATAGAGCTGAATAAAGAGGCCAGGAAAGGGTGCTTATGTTCTAAACTATAGGACAAGCAGCATTTTGTAAGATTTTGAAAGAGCAAGATAGATCATAGGATAACTGGTAAGTTCTAAGGAGGGACTGGAAGTAGGATGCCGATCCATCCGTTTTCCAACCTCCTTATCCTATACAGGGTTGCAGGGAGACCGGAGCATATATCTGCCAGCACCAGGCTCAAGGGAAGATACACCCTAGACAGGACGCCGGTCCATCTCTGGGCTCACACAGACACCACACACACCAGAGGCAATTTCCCCAGAAACCAGCATGTGAAGGACGTACAAACTCCACGCTGTTAGCACTGCGCCACCTAGCCGCGAAGTGGGAGAGGCACAGGACAGCTCACGGTTCCCCAGTCTGGAAAAGCCCCAGTGCCAATGCAGGACGTTGCCATGCGATGACTTACATCAGTCTGTCGACGGTGCAGGTGGTGAAGAGAGCGAAATCGCCCTCGCAGTCCCTGTCGCAGCAGCAGTTGACGTCACACTGACTCGCCAGCAGATCGCAGGGACACACGTTCGCGACTGAGGAGAGAGGATCAGAGTGACTGTTAGCAACCGCTGACGACCCTCCAAAATAATGCTCATGGATGGGTGGTGGGTGAATGCCTAGTTGTTTCGACCCAGAACAAAATCTGATTTCAGGATCGGAGTGCGGGCTGCACTGTACTCGCACGGCAGCCCTAATAATAATAATAATAATAATAATAAGTCCCTCAGATATCTCCAACCTGTCACTGAACTCCTCATTGCCTGCTGTGTAATCATACCGTTAGTAATAGGCGGAGGAAGGGAACCCGAGAGCGGCAGAGGCCGAGAAGAGGGGACCGATGTGGTCGCAGCTGTTGGCGCCTCGGCTCTCGGAGACACGTCGCTCCGGGCTGTCGCCTCGGGTTGAGGGGCTGTGTTCGTCTCAGGGGTGCTGAGAGGAGAGGGGAAACCGCTTGCGCTGGTCGGCTGTGCGGCCCCCGTCTCGGCTGACTCAGCTGTCGGCGGTTCGGGAGCAGCTCCGGCCGTCTGGGAGACAGAAGCTGCCGCAAAGTTCTCCGCCGTAGTGTTGAAGTCGTTCGTGTCTGCTGGGGGGAACGGCTCGTTTGCCGTTGTCGCTCCGGTGTCTCCACTCTGCGCCAGAGACGTGGTAAACGTTTGCAAACGAGTGATAGAGGCGAAGTTAAAGAAAATCAGAAACCTTAGCGACACCGCCATGGCTCTTAGTAACCGTAAACAGACGGTTGAGCCTTCGAATCCAGGAACTGAATTTGGGAAGGGCATCCCGGGTAAAATAAATAAAATAATTCATGTGATCGTATTATTATTTTGCTGATGTAAGATGGGAGTAAAAGAAAACGAATTCGTGTTTTCTGGCCGTTAAAATAATAGTGTTACGATAGCTCCTTTCAAGGTTATAAGTACGAAAGGTTTTACGCATGCTGTCGCCATCTTGGCTCTTGGAAAGGGGTCAGTTAAGGACAGGGTGTAATCATTCGGAGTCAGTTTGAGCCACAATGGCGACAGTTTCAGCGACCTCTCCGTGCAACCTTGGGATCTTCTTAAATTTCAGAATGTCAGTGTAACGTGATGGTAGTACCTCATTGTTATGATTTGTACTGGCAACGTCATAAATACATTGTATATTTGTCCTTATCATCTGGGTACCGTCTAATATGCAAGCCTCTTAAGGTAAATTCTGCTGGATCGTAATATTTATTTGCTCATTTAAATGTTTCAGTAAAATATCTGTGCAAAGTTTACTTTTACAAATAAAGCTAATATTTAAGATTGAACTGTAAAGCACAGAAGTGTATTTAAGTTCCTGACTGAAAGAACAATAAGGTAGTGTCCAGTTGCATGGTTGGGGAATAATATAAGACATTATACAACGAATAAAATCCCGTAAAAATAATTTCCCAGGAAACTAAAATAAATTAAATTAATTTAAACCAAACCAAATTAAATAATAAACGATAGCATTATCTCTGAAACGTCTTATGCTCTTGCAGACGGAGCTACAACGCGTGATTTAAGCAATACGATTAATGTTTCATTTCTTCGTAACAGTGAGCCGTGCAGTCGTTTGGTGGGAGGAAAGGCGATTAAATGGCATGAATTAAAATGTAAAGACAAAAGTCAGTAAAAATGACCGCGATGATACGGGGAGAGCAGATCCTTTCAAAACGACAGTTTTCCCCCCGTTAACGTAGTTTGAAGAAAGCCGCGATTGATGGCCTTTTAAGGAAAACCCCCTATTGCGTAACAACGAATGACGTCAAGGAGTCACAAGACTGCCCCCCGAACTCTGTGGAGCTCGCGCTCGCCGGAACCCGGGCGTTTGTACAATCTTGAGCAGGGAAAGATGGCGGAGAGGATGGAGCACCTGAGAGCCACCGGCTTCGCGAAATACCACGCCAAAACCTGAAGACGCTTCCCAGCCGTACTCTTCGTCCTGGGCCTTTCAGAAAACAAAAAAAGACGTTAAAAAGGCGCCTCCTCTGGGACTGTGGGGCTGACCTTTTTTCCCTGTTCGTTAGTGTGGGTAACCGCATGTTGTTTTGTTGAGAGACTGTAGTGAGTGAGGCAGAGTGAGGAGAGAGTAGGTAGGAGGTAAGGTGGACTCTTGCTATTTCTGGGGGGATGTTGTCCGTTCTCTCCTATGGCAGACTGGTTGCCAGGGCTGTCCTGGGCGGACTTTCCCAAACAGATAGCCGGGATTACAGCCTGGTGACGGCAAGCTGCGGTTTCGGGAAAGACTTTCGGAAGGGGATTTTGAAGAAGGGGATGTGTTACGGCGATGACGCCTGTTTCATTGCTCGGCATAGATCCGCTGATGTATTGGGTAAGTCCGGCGATTTTTCTTGATTTCAGCGCCAGGGCGAAGCGTTTAAAGCTGATCTCCAACGGACCTACTACCCCCCATCCCGAAATAATAATAATAGTAATAATAATAATAAAAAACGATCAAGCATCGGAGCCCTTTCACCTTGGAGGTTTGTTGAGCTGCAGTACTGTAAAACGAGTCCACGCAGGTTAAGGAAAACACCGTAAATCGCGCTTCTTAATTTTTAAATACCCTTTCTGGAATGTCACTTGAACTGCATGACCTGGTCTCATGTCAACATGTGGCACCGGGCTGGTGTGTGGTACTTGATCGGTACCGGCAGCGTCTTGAGACGATTTTCCCCGAAGTCGTGCAATAATACTCCTACACGCAGCTCTGACACTGTTTCTATTTGCACCTGTCGGCGCACATCACCATTGAAGATTTTAATGCCGGCATTATCCCGCATTTGTACTGCAGAGCTAATTAAGTGGCAGGATGTGTTTAAGAGCCTCTGCATCTGCACGGTGCTTCTACGCTTTTGCAATGCATGGAATTTGAACCTATTGTCATTTTACCGTGCTTAAACACTTATTAATGTTAAGGACTACTTCAGTGTTTTTGGTGCGGCTAAGAAAAGCTTGAATTTGTTGCAAGCGAGTGATCGTGACCTTTTACCTCGATCGCCGAGATGTAGACTGAGGCTTTGTATCTCCACCACTAGTGGCGATGATGTGCAGTGCCAAGGTGTTTTAAAAAACCCTCCATTGTTTAGCTTTTACAGCATGAGGAGAAAGGTTCCGATTACAATTAACGCTTGCGGGTTTCATCTGGGTGTATTTGCGAGATAGATGTGGATCGTTATTTCATCTTCCGCGTACGGCTGCTGCACCAGGAAGCATTTTGTGTGCTGAGCGTAGTGTCTCGGCGTAGGCATGTTAGAAGCCTTAACGAGGTCTTAGATTCCTCATCAGTCCTCGCTCACCCTGGCGTTGTTACTCTTTTTTTTCGGGGGGTAAACGCAGTCTTAGTTTCCGGACAGCCGGTGTCCGCTCTGCAGAGGTCAGGGTGGTTAAGCATGGAGGCGGCCATGTTGGGTCACGTTCTGTACGCGCCCCGCGAGCGCCGTCCTTGTCCTTCTCCGGCGCGAGCCAGGTGCACTTGAGAGGGAGCGGCGCGCGCCGCGAGCTGTTTCAGTTCCCAGTGTCACCCCGGGGCGCCCGTCCTAACGTGAAAACCCACGACTGGGGCGTGTTCTCTGCCAAGCCGGGGCTGGCAAACACTGTGGCTGGCCAGGAGGTACGACCTTTGGCAGCAAAGTGATCTTGCCCACCTTTTGAACTAGGACAGACGTCAACAGTTTGGATATACGTGTCAGAGCGGACTATGACCTTGAAAAACATGTTTTCCCTCGAAGGGCAAATCCGTGGTAGTTAGTAGGGGGTTTTGAGGAAAATTTAGTTATTCCCATATCTTAACTGAGAATGTCAAGGGGGTATGCACCGAAGGACGCGTGTTTATTTTATTTCGTGTTTCACTCAGGTCGCGCACCTTTGTACAGAAACGAAAGATGTCTGCCACCGGTTTCTGGGAAACCTGATGCAGCCTCTATTCAGAAAACAGCTTTTAAAAAGAATGGGATTATCTAGGAATAGAAGAAATTGCAACATATTCTCAATCTTCAAGGGCTCAAATTCTGATGTGCACGTTCGTTTCAGCAGGATCAGCTCTGATCATCCTATAGAGGAATCTGTATCCGAGTCCTGTCTTATCTCTGCATAGACGACAGAGCGCCTGATCCACCTGCAGCAGCAGCCTGAAGTCATGCGAGAGCTGTATTTGCTTGTTGGGTCCTTGTAATTTTATTAGCAAATTGAACAGATCTATATATCAGGAAGCAAGTCGGCTCTAAACATCTTTACTTTTACTGTCCCCAATGGGGAAATTTGTTTTGCAGGCAAAAGACATAAGACGAAACAAAATACGTTAAACACAACATGAACCCAATAACAAAAACATATTTTGATTTTCCCCGTACAGAATGTTAAATTGCACTAAAAGTGACCTGGCGGCAAGTTCAGCTTTCTCTGCAAGGGTTCTGGAGTGTTGCTTGATGTATAAGGAGGGTCATGTTTTTGGTTTGTCTACTTTGGGCCTTTGTTGTGTGAATTGGCTGGTGTTTGCACAGCCAGTAGTGGACTACCATCGATCTGTGTTTTTGTTTCATGTGGGATTAAATGTTGAACTCTGCGTAACTGTTTTTCTTGGAAAGCTTGTCAGACTTTGAAGGATTGCTGAGTACAGTCTCATGTCACAAGAGCCTTGCATATTTAAGGTATCAAAAATAGGTGACATCTGAAGTTTTAATATCGGCTTTCAGGCCTTCATATGTTTTAAGTCCATATGTGCTTTTGTATTGAATAATGTTTCGCACGAAAGAACAAAAAGACTACCTTTGTCTCTTACACTGCCTCCTACTATTCTAATAGCACATGATGCACTAAATCTTACCCATTTCCATGTGAACAGACCGATTCCCTGAATTTTCTTATTCTGCTGAATGAGTCATACTAATCCTCAGGGAGGATTTGTATTTGTGTGCTCAAATCAATTCTCAGAGAAGAGAGTGCAAACAGCTTGCAAATCGGATGTCTGCACAGCCCGATTACTGCAACTGCAGTTAGAGGAAAGTAACTGCTTTATAATGCAAAATCAACATTTATCTCCTGTTCATGCCAGTATTGCTTCTCTGAACCACTTAGGCTCACATTGTTTTTTTTCGTCTCTCTCTAGCCTGCAGTTTCATGTTCCAGATGAGATTGCCAGTGCCTTGGTACAACATTTTTACATCGGTTATTTTTAAGACAACTTGTATAAGAGAATTTGCAGAAATTCTCAACATTAGAGTTGGTGGGGCATTGTATACTGGCAAAGCAGCACCACTAACTTTGTTGATGTGTCTCCACACACACACACACTTTGCCAGAACTTCTCAGGAACCTGCAGGCTTGTAGTGATGTCGATGAGGGATGTGTCTCCTTTCAGATTGGTGCTGAATGTCCTGCATCTTACTGCAGTTCTTGGGAGGAGAACATAGTAATGAAGCCATTTCATAGATGGGGATTATTAGGTTGGTCAGTTTGGCTACACATTTACTCTTTTTGAAAAACGCCCTGGGATTTTTTTTATGGCCACATAGAGTCATGACCTTGGTTTTACGTCTCATCTGAGGGATGGTGCCTTTTTTACAGTGTAGTTTTCCCATCACTTTTATGGGCATTAGGACCCACACAGACTGCAGAGTGAGTGCCCCCTACTGGTTCCACCTCTTCCAGCAGCAACCTTAGCTTTCTCAGGAGGTGTCCCACCCAGGTACGGGCCAGGCTCACTCCTGCTGAGCTTCAGGGGGCTGCCAGCTGTGAGGTGCACTTCCTCATTCACCCTGTGAGCACAGTCAGTGCGGTGACCCAAGATGTTAAGACTCAATCAGTCATGCCAATTAGGGTGAATATGGCATAAAAAAGCCTAAAAAAGTGCATCATTGAAATACCTGGTTACCGATATAGGATCTTTGAATTATTTTTGAACCTTATTACAGTTTGTGAAACTCTGTTAAGAGGCCGAAACTTGAAGGTTTAGCAGGCCATGCTTATTCCAAAGCGCTTCTGGAACAACAGCGCTTCAGGGACATATGATAAACCTACAGCATGAAGGTCCTTTTAGCAAACGTGTGGATGTTTTGAGCTTTATCTTTTATCTGAATTACCCTGGTGGTTTTACTGGCGGGTTAATAAGAGCATTACACTGGTCTTCGGTTGTGTTCTTTGAGATTCATCCACGGTATGTGGCGGTAAGGCAGCACTCGCCGAAACTGATATTGCAAAGCCATGTTCTGGCAGATTTGTTCTCTTATGTCTTGGGGCCTGACTTTTTCAGCTCTTAAACTATTTAGAGGTACTTGAGCATGAAGGTCAAACACCGAAGTGGGGCCAGTTCAGGATGTCCGTGGCTGGCTTCGTAATGCTTCTACTAGACGGTAGTAGGTTTAGGTTTTTGTTTTGGTGGAAGAGCTTTTGGTAAGAGAGTAGTCTGAAGTCTGTAATGCCGATCCTTCCTTTATTTACCATGACTCAGATGTTCAGGGCATAGCCAACTGCACCTCAGGAATGCTGGTGTGAGTGTTTTAAGCATTAACAATCTGCATATTTGACAATCTTTAACTTCTGTTTATCAGGTTGTACCTTCTTTGTTAGGAATACCCTGTTCTGTAACAGACGGCATTCCACAGCCAAGAGTGCAGCCAAGAATGAAACCTATGGACGATCATCCGATCAGTGTAGGCGTGCAGTGGTGTGCAGGCAGCTGTAAGCGAGTACGAATACCAGAGACTGTGGCTCAAACAGATGAACGCCCCTCCTCATGCTTGCAAAGGCCATTTCGGAATATTTTGAATTTGTCAAGCGGAGGAAATAATGCTGTACTCCAGAATTATGACCATAGGCTGCAAATTCCTTTGAAAGAGTTTCTGTATTAATTGTCAGTAATTTTACCCTTTGCTGCAGGTAGTGGCAAACCACAAGAAAGGTAGGGGAAATAGGTTCCTCAGGTAATGCTGGTTAGGCAGTTAGGCGTTTTTAAATCGTGCTCAAACGATTAGCCAGCGTAGCGCTATTTATATTTTTTTCCTTCCCACACACTGCTCATAACAGATGTGCCTTGTGATCTATCCGTAGAGGGAGAGCGCTCTTGTGCACGAGCCTTCCTGGTCGATGCTTCCTTGTATGGTCACTCGAGTCGATTCTTGAAGTATTGTCCGCGCTGCATAGCAGCAGATGGCCTTTCCTGGAAAATCTTTCCCCCGTCTGCGCGCAGCAAGGCGGCTCTCTGGAAGGGGGGAAGGGAAGGGGCTGCTGTGTGACCGCTGGCGCCGGTGCTTCTTTCCCAGCTGCAGCCTTTGCGAGACAGTGCTCTCTTATGTGCAGGGGGGGGGCCTGCTCGTGGACGGGAGGAGGCTCTTATTGACCCCCATTGCGCGTTTCAGCAAGCAAGTGTTAAAAAAGGCCATTTAGGAACTTGAAACCTTTCATTCCTTAAAGAAAATGTTTGCAGGGGCACACTGCATGCACGTGTCATCGGTTTTGGATCAGAATGTGACAAAGCCGGAGGGGAGATTGGAGGCTCGGCTGTGTTCATTGGTGGCGAAAGGGAAGGAGGTGCTGTTGTACGTCTTTGGTAGCAGAGGTACCTACTCTGAAAGCCTGTTATAGGGAGAAGAGTGCTAAAATGCAGGAAGAGGATTCGGTGACTGTTAAAAGAAATAATGCCTAGAATAAATTCTATTGGTTTATCTAAAATGTTTTGATTTTTGGCGCTATGGAATGTTGTACAAGGAAATTTCTACAACACCGTACAATTAAAATATTAGTTTTACAAAACATTGGTTCTGAAGTTTTTAAAATGTTACTACGAGTCAATGGGATCCAGCAGACCAGTTACAAGAGCTCAGGATCCCACACAGGTAGTTGGATAATGGGATTGTTGTGGGGTTTAAGTAGTGGCTTACCCTGGGATTTTAGAGAGATGTCAATGGTCTTTAGCACTTTACAGCTGTCTCATCATAGCACTTAGTAATACATCATGGAGCAGAATGTGGTGGCTTCAGTCTCACAATTCCTACTCGATCAGTTCCATTCTGGATGTGATCTTGGCCTACAATATTTAGAGTAGTTCAGGTGGGTAGCTGCGTTAGCCTGCGTAGTCTGCAAAAGAACAAGTAATGGGCTTCAGCATGGAATAAACCTATTACTTGTCCCTTTACAGTATTTATAGCTTCATTAGTTCCCAGCATTTGGGCAAAAGGGACTGACCAGCTAGGAGATGGAAGTTGGCAGAACACGAGTGGCCCAGTTAGGAGTACCTCAGGGGAATTTGCAAATTGTATTAATGAAATCTAAGTGAAGCCGGAACTTCTCAAGAGCATAATCCATTCTCCCTTGAATACAGTTCAGACACGCATTAGGGATTCTGCTGCTGTTCTTACTCCAGTGTCCCTCAGGAGAATCTGAATGGGATCTGAAGTTTGTGTAAATTGTTAGGAAGACTTTTTTTATTCTGTAGAATTGAACCTTTGAGCACAAATGTTTTACATTAATATACAGATTGCCAACAGTGCTCAAGGTTGGAAAAACAAAACATTTTGTATTGTAGCTGTTCCAGAACTTTTCATCACCCATCTGGGACTTAATAGCAATTACAGGGAGAGACAGAATGTCCTAACAAACTTTGAGTACGCGTTTTGTTTGTTATTCAGCGACTCTCTGACACACCAGCATGAGCTTTCAGATATTTAGCTACAGTCCTCAAAGCCAAGGACACTCCATAATCTCAGAGGAATATTCCACAATAAATTCCCAGATGAAGTGACATAAACAGCACAGGCACCTCCGGCGTGGGCACGCAGGGTCTAGTGAACTTTCACTGCGGGTTTGCAGAGAAGGGCAATCGCGATTGGCTTTTAAGAGCAGAGCTCCAGGTGCACATTGTAAGGATTAAAATGGGACATGCTCAGCATTTTAGATTTTGCATGTTTCTCCTGAAAAAACCAGGACAGCAAGGAAATGTTTTTATTTCACATTGTGTGTTTGCATAAGCAGACTTATTAAAAATTGTGGTAAAAGGCTTAAAGAATCCACTATAGTCTATTGGCTTGTACACACGAGTTTCTAACTCTTGTAGTCTGAAACAGATCAAAGTGATGTGCAGGAGTTGTCTTTTTTTCCCCATCCCTGCGTTGGCAGTAATGCCCCCAGTCGACCTCTCTGCCACACAGACATGTCTGAGGGGTTGTGCTCTCATCGGGGGAAAGCTGCTTAAATGCCATCTCAGGTCTGCTGTATTACTGGAGTCTGCTGGGGGAAGATTAAGGAGTTCAGAGACAGGATACGCGTCTGGGCTGGGTCTGATTTACCCAGGCTACTCCACGTTGGCTGGGCATTCAAGCCGTTGATTGGCGTGTTTAAGGAGCTTTTGAAGGGCGTCTTGAAACAAGGCGGCTGTACTGGCTTCATCAGGGATCTTTGCCACTTGGTTTCAGGTGCTTCCTCTTCACCAAGATCACATTCTTCCGTCATCTGTCAGCTTCAGTACTAAGTACAAACAATTTATCTGCAAAGGGATTTTTTTTAAATCCCTTTATAAACCTTCCAATGTTCTTTTTTTTTTTTAAACAAAGGGATACATTTAGCAGCAGGATGTTCGTAAGATATAGGCCATTTAAAGACCTGAATTTTACAGCTATCTGTCGAATCGGTGTTGCCCATTTGGCTTATGTAGCAGGGACCTGCAGCAGTGTGTAGCTAGGATGTGCGGGCAGCAGTGGCCTTGGTCAGACCTCGTGTCTTTCAGCTTGTCTTTTATCTCAGTGAGCGGACCCCTCGCATAGCAACCACTACAGTAAGTGGCCACACTGTGCCAGAAATGAGTTAGTATACATTGTGATGTGGGCTCCTTGCCTTTGTTGATGCTAGTTCGTGACTTTACAGTATTACTGTTGTTTATTAGTAGAAGTCTCTGTTTGATTTAAAAAAAAAAACTTCCGGTGCTCCGTCTGAACAGAGTAGCCAGTAATGACCTTATCTGTTCTTGGACAAGAGCAGGGGGCCTGTCCTGATGCCGGGAAACAGCCTGTGATTCACACTGCAGCAATGGGATCCCTGTACACTTTCTAGCACTCGCGGTGTCTCACAGCCTCTGCGTACAGGCAGGATTGGGAGAAGCATAAAGATTAAGCAGAATGAAGAAAATGAGAAGAACTTCAATTTTCCTGTCTTTAATGCTCAGTCCCAGATGGTAGTTTGCTGAGCCAGGCAGATGTTTTTTCCCTGACGTGGATGAAACATAATGAATCTGGATTTACTGTTTGTGCATTGATACGGTCAGTAAGAGGACATTGTCTTGTGTATTTATCCATCTTGTTTGTCTTAGTTAATAATGTTAAATAATACCAGGGGGAGGGGAGTGAATGAGAAGAGTCTCATGGGGTTCACCCATTTCAGAATAACATAAATCCTCAAATGACTGTGAATGTATTGATACATTATACTGAATTCTGTGTTTGGCCTTAACAGAGCAATGTGTTTTGAACACAAGTGAGCTTTCATTTAAATATCTGGAATACTATTTCACTGAGTACACTGTGAGTACATGAAGTGAGTACACTGTGTTTTTCTGCCTAGGGGCAAATTTGAAGGCGTATCCCAACTTTTTGTTTCACAGTGCAATAATTAGAATACCCTTGTTTTGTAGTTCCTCTTTGTCCACCTTTCTGTTGGTGTTTTTTTTCATACCTGCTGAAAGAAGTTTTTGAGTGGGTCTGGGCCTCTTGTCAGAGCAGATCATGAAGCTCATCCGACTCCAGCACAACACAGAACCCAGACATTTCAGTGTTTTCTTTGCTGGCTAACAAAATCAGCTTGCTTCTTCTCTCAAGCTTCCTATAATTATGATTTTGTCAAACTGTAGCATCTGGAAGCTTTTTTTCACCATGGTTCCATAGTTCCATTTTACAGTTTGAGCACTAAAAATCTCTTCCTTTCTCTGTCAGTGTTGGTGACGCATCCCCCTCAAGAAGAAGCAGAAGCATTTTGTTTTTCAAACAAGAGGCACCTTTACAGGATTAGTTGTAATCTCTAGCATTTGTAGATTATGCTTAAAAAAGCATATGGAAGTATCCCACTGTGTTGAATTACAGGGCTATATTTCTATTTTTAAGCATTAATTGCACTTTATTGTAAAAGTCGTTTCATGTGCTTAGCACTAATTAATATAGTGGTGCCCTGGCGTTCTGAATGGTTTATATTAGGAAATGGTTAGAAGTGGAATCTAATTGTTGCAGAAAATGTGATTTGTGGCTGTTGAGGCACCACTTGAATAATAATTGACTGCAGAGGTTTGTGATAAATAGAAATGAACACAAATGTACATTTTCTTAATTTTCTTGGTATTTTTATCAAGGCGCTCCATACTATTTCCGTGTTGACTTTCTTTTTTGTAGCCTAGTATGTACTGTAGCCGACCAGATGTCAGAGCTTTTCCATTAGTAGCTGTTCTTCGTTTGAGGTGATGATGGTGATGTCTGTAAAGTCAATTACTGTACTTGGGACTCATTTCACATTTGTTATTAATGACTTGTATATATAGTCGCAGTACAAAGATCCCTTTCTCCTGTAAACATAATCGTTAAACTTGCGGAAGTCTTCTGTTTGACTGCATCTGAAACATTTTTAGTTCTTGTGCTAGATGATGTGTTAGAGAGATGGGGGGTGAGGTTTACAATGCACCACGGTTAGATGAACACTCCTGTGATGGTGTTCCTTCACGTAGCTGCTGAGAGCCCAACAGATGTATTGCAGCAGTGCATTGGAATTGCTTAACTGGCAGGCGGCAGAGATGTGCACCAGAGTCTCGCTCATTCTCATGTTCGTTTCCGGGGCGCGTGACCCCCCCCCGGCCCTCGTCTGGATTCTCCGGGTAACGCCCCGGCCCCCGCCCCAGGGGGCCGGCGGCCGGGTGCGCACCACGGCCCCCTCCTCACGCGCGCTGCTGGCCTCCCGTTGCAGGCGTGGCGGACGGCGTGGGCGGGTGGCGGGACTACGGCGTGGACCCCTCGCAGTTCTCGGGGACCCTGATGCGGACGTGCGAGCGCCTGGTGAAGGAGGGGCGCTTCGTGCCCAGCAGTCCCGTGGGCATCCTCACGACGAGCTACTACGAGCTGCTGCAGAACAAAGTTCCTCTCTTGGGTGAGTGACACTCTTACTGCGGCTCTCTCCGAATGTAACCCGCCGGGCCTTTGGCACCAGTGCCCCTGGTTAGTCTTAACTTTTTTTTTTCCATGCAGATTAGGTTTACAGTCCTGGTTTTCAAATATTTTTTAAAAAAAATTTCAAGCAACACGCTATTAGAGATTGTCAGATTTTGATTCCTGTTAGTGGAAGGTTCTTCTTTTGTATACTATTACATGCACACTGTAAATGCTCCAAACACCAGGGAAATTTGTTTTTTTTTTTTAATAAGAGCTTGTGCTTTTATTGTTGCTTTACTATGGAATTGTACGGCAGTCTTGTGAAGATTCAGATCCGGATTGAGGTTATGAGTAATCTTACGGAAGGCAAAAGCTTGACCGTTAAATGACAAATTAGAAGCTTATGTTTCGTCCGTTTGTGGGGTGGAGAGATTTTGTTAAGTTTGCGGTTGAGTGCTGAGGGGCGCAGCACTGCGGAGCTGAGTCACAGAAGCACTCCACCAACATTCTGCTTTGAGGCTGAGAAACATCCCTTCCGCTGAGCTCTTGTTGGCGTCTGATGCTTGACCAGTCCCGTCCAGCTGGGATGTAGCAGGATCTTCTTGAGAGGACTGGTTTAGCTTGTGTTGGCTGACGTGGGCATAGTGGTTCACAACTCTTGGGTTCTGGGGTCCCTATTTTGAGTTTGCGTGGGTCTTCTCCCGGTGCTCGTGTCTCCTGTCTTCCAAAGACACGCTGGCTGGGTGTCAACGGGCTGCAGGGAAGAAAAGATGGCACACCTCCAGGTGTGGAAAAAAACAAACAGCTCCACAACCTGCTTTTATAGTTCAGAATCAAAAACCAAGCGATCAAAAATGCTGCAGCTGTTTCTGATAATGGATCCATTTCACCGACTTCTTCCACATCTGTGCAAATGTATTTTCCATGAAAGGTTACGCAGTACTGCACCCCATTAAAGTGCTATCGCAAAGTGTATTGTCTGCAAACATTTTTTCAAGAATGAGAGAACACATCTGGAAATGCGCCGATGGAATGCTCTTTAATTGGTTTAAACAAATAGTACCATAAATGAACTTGCGTGATCAACCCATATTTGCTTTCTGCCAAACGGAACATTTCCTGCAGATGAGTCACTGGCAGCAGGGTGTGGTTGGATCCATACACCCTTTGTTCAGTTTCTTTTTCCACATCCCCCTGAAGCAAAACATGTCACAATGTTCAGAGGGGGGAGCAACTGTTTCGTTTCAGATTCTAGGGTCAGATCTTGATTGAACCTCTGCTGGATAAAACATCCAGCTGTTGAGGCTGTAAGATGCTTTTTTTTACCTCTAGTGCCAGACACTCAGCCCCTGTTGAAGTATTGAAAGATGACTAATGAGGTAAAAGATGGTGTTTTATACGATAAGTTTCATAGGTTAGAAAGAGTTAACACAAAGTTTTCTGTTGTATAGGTTTTAAAATCCTCTTTCTCTTTTTGTTACCAGTAAAGGCATTCTGAGCCATACTCTGACTGCTGCATGTTATGCTAGACAGTATTTATGTCATGGAAAATGGATTGCTGTTGTCTGAGAACTGACCATCATCATGTATAATAATAATAATAATAATAATAATAATTGCTTACACTTATATAGCGCTTTCCTGGACACTCCACTCAAAGCGCTTTACAGGTAATGGGAACTC